CATGGCCTGGCAAGGAAATAATAATAATAATAACTTTAATAATAGCAGTGATAGCATGAGCACAGGCTGTGTGCACCAGGCTGTGCACCCCAGGAGCTTCTCTGCTCTGCCCAGAGAGGCGGAGAAGGGGCTCCAACCAAGCCGTGCTCTCTGGGCAGCCCTGGGGTGTTTGGTGCCTCTGCTCAGTGACCTGGAAGTGGCTCTGCAGGTCCCTGAGGCACCAGCCTCCAGCCCCCAGGATGGGGGGAGCCAGACGCCTGTGTCAGGGCTGGGCACCAGTGCAACACCTCTGCGGATGCAACACTCATACTGGTACAACACCTCTACCAACGCAACACCCACACCTGGGTACTGAGGGTGCGTAAAACCGCATGAAAGTTGTGGAGAAGAGGGAAGGTGGCATGAGCTAGGTTCTTATTTTAAACAGAGACTGCTTGCAAGGGTCTGCTGGCACAGTGTCCCAGCACGCCGGAGCTGTATAAGTCACATCTTCAGGGCCACCCGTGTGGTTTTACCTGTGCCAGGAGGGGCTGTCAGCCTGGTGTGGCTGTCCTGGCCGAGCTGCGGCTGATTGGAGCCCGTTCTGCACCAGCTGCCCCTCAGCAGGGTGGTCAGTGCCTTCCCATCACCCCGTCTGCTCCAATGGGGTCAGCGTCACCCCGGAGCCCCGGCAGCGAGCGGCGGTGGGTGCCGGTGGGATGCTGCCAACTCCGCCTAAAGCTGTGCAGTGGAAACGCGAATCTTGGACGGGTCTGGGGGTGAAGGGGAGACCCCGGGGCGGTCGTCCGGGCTGCGTCCACACAGCGCCTGGCTGGGGCTGGAGCAGGGCCGTGGTGCACAGATGGAAGAGTAATTAAGAATAATAAAAGGAAAGAGACTTGGATTCGCTACAGTCTCAGCACATTAATTGTACTTTGGGGCCCAAATCATAACCGAGTCCTGCTAGAGGGAATCCAGAAGAGAAACCAAATGTCTCGCTCTGTCCAAAGCTGACCATTTAAGAGACCCTTGCCTTCATCTGCTGCCAGGTATTACTTCCAGAGTCTTCTATCTGCCAAAACCCAAGTTCTTGTTTGAAATATTTTTAGGGGAGGAAGAAAAGCTATGGTGACACTCGAAGTGCTGGCGGTGGGGAGGCAGAGCGTGATGCCTCGTGGACAGCACTGTGGGTGCATGGGGATTTTTGGAGCTCTCAGAGGCATCTGTCCCAGTTGGCTGGCATGTGTCACCAGGCTGGGACTTGGACTTGCGCTGGTCTTGTGCCCGAGGACCAGGGTGAGTCGTGGCAGTAAGCGGAGGTCCTGCCTGTGCTTCTGTGCAGGCTGAGCATCTCTTCTGATTTGACAAGCAATTACATGGTTAATGGTATCAATGTTAAATCCTCATCACTCAGCAGCCTGAGGCTTAATGCTTCATTAAGGCAAAGGCATCTAATAGCTCTCTGGGCTGGGAGCTGCCTTTTCTGTAAGCCTGAGAAGTCATCCATCCAGAAGCTGCTTTTGCTCTCCCGGTTCTACAGCCAAGCTGGAAGTCCCTCCAAAATGGAAGAGGGTCAGGAAAATGCTTCCGTACACTCCATGTTGTTGTGGCTGGCCGGATCAAGCCCAGCTGATGCGACGGAGCCACATGTTGCAGATGCGGCGTGTGGAGAGCACGGCCGTTGTCTGAGACCTGCCGTTTCCTATTCCCCATGGGTATCCCGAGCTCCCTGCCTGCCCTCGCTCATCGTACAGGGCTGCCTCTCGCCTCTCCCTGCAGCCCGCTGGTGTGTGCCTGTGGATTTAACCTCTGTCTCCCCTGCGTTACGCATTTGTCGACGTTGAGTTTCATCCACCGTGGATGGCGCCTCCACCCTTCGCGCAGCAGCGAGTGTCACAGGCGCTTTGGGCTTCCGTCTCGCTGCTTGGCGGGTGCCTCCCGGATCACGCGTCTCTGCTGGAGTCTGATCCTGCGTCCTTCTGCTGGAAAATTTGCCACTGTGGAAGAAAGATACAGCGGGAGGATCGGCTCTCCAGCTCTGAGCTTTGCAGTGAAACACGAAGGAGGAGCCTACAGTGTCCGCCGCAGCCCACGGGTCAGGGGGCACCCCTTGGCTGCAGACCCCTGCCCGCCTCTGGACCTACTTCTCAGCAACACGTCAGAAGCTGTACTCTTTCTTTTAGCAGTTGGAATGGGATTTTGACTTTGGGAAGCCCAGCTGGCTGCGTGGAGCACATTGCTTTGCTTTGGTTTGGCCTGCTTGGATCTCTGTAGAGCATGGCAGCGTGTGCCCTTGTTTCAAGAGGCAGCACCGGACACTGTCACCATGGATTTTGCAGATGTTTTACCCTTTTAGTTGCCCCTTTTCATGTTCCCTCAAGTAGCTGCTTCAGTTTTTTTCTTGCAGTTCCCTTTCAAAGCTGCTTTCTCCTTTCATCATTATTAGGATGGAAACAAGAAGAGGCTTCTTGAACAAAGTCCTGCGTGTGGCACAGGAGGAAGGATGCTCAGCTGTGTCCCTTTGC